CTCTCTCTCTCTCTCTCTCTCTCTCTCTCTCTCTCTCTCTCTCTCTCTCTCTCTCTCTCTCTCTCTCTCTCTCTCTCTCTCTCTCTCTCCGTCCCGTCGAACCGAGCGCAGCAACCAGCACAGCGAGCATGAAGCAGTCAAAACCACCGAACCGAGCGCACCAACTGGCACAGTGAACACAAAGCTATCACCGGGCCGCCCCGAGAGCCTCATGCGTTGCTCGTCGGGCCCGCCCACCGGTCCCACCACGTTTCCCGACAGCGGAAAGCGGGATCTCACGGGAGCATTATGCGAGACCCGCTATTCACTTAAGGAGTGTTAAGGATAACTTTTGCCTCAGGGTCACATCGAAATTCTTTACCAAATTCGGACGCGAAGCGTCTGCTCTTCGAGCCTTTGCCAAGGTGGAGTTAAAAAAAAATAATAATAATAAGGTTGTTTTTTTTTTTGGCCCGGCATGTAAGTGGTTCCGGGCCACTCTGGTAGCCTAGGTATTCATCTTTTTTCTTTGGTGAAGGTTTTGTCGGTGAAAGGAAGGACAGCGACATCATGTCCCGTGTTGGGTATCATACTACTGTCCTCATGAACGTTACTGTTCTCAGGGTGTCAGATGGGAGAGGTGTGTTCGTGAGGCTTGCCCAATAATTTGTGAAGCCGATCCGAGGGGTTCCTGGCATTGCGCATAGACTTCGGGCAGAAGCCTTTCAATGGACATTGTGGTGAACCGTGCCCTGCCTCCTCGACCCCCTGTGCAGTCCTGCCCCTCCTTCCCCTGCTGCTGCTGGAAAATGGATACACAGCTAACTCAGCTCTGTCAGAAGTTGCGAACTCCCTAGCCGTTCTCCCCCCTTTTCAAAACTACCTTGCGGAGGAGCAAAAAGGGTGGATTTTGGGTTTGTTAGCCCCTGGGGTAAGGCCAGTTCCGGAGGTCGTTCCTTCATGTATGCATGCCGCATTGCTTCCCATGCACATTTGAGGCATCTTTCGTATAAGTGAGCTCCACCCCTGAACAGCATTGATTACTTGGTCCAAGATAAATTGCATGTCAGCTTGCCGTTCCGTTTCTTGCCCCTCTCAGACCCTTTCCCGAGCCTGTGAGATTCATCTCGATCCACCAAGAATAAGGCGAACGATAACCGCTGGCTCTCATGTCTATACGGGGTACTGGGGTTCTTGCCGAAGGCTGTCCTGGCATTGAAACCGAGGCGACCTGTGAGCTTGCTCCCGAAAATGACTGCTCTTTGAGCCGCCTCATCTCATTCTCTGAGCTTTTGTTTTGATTGCAATATCAAGTCGATCTGTTCCGAAAATTTAGGATCCAATAACTGTGTTAGGCCCCGGCCGGCTCGGCTGGGGGAAGGTCGCCCAGGTACCCTTCCGGGCGGCCCAGACCGGGCAATGCCCAGGCAGGGTCCCGGGTGATCCCAGCACATAATATTTAAAAAAAAATAGAAAGAAAAACAAAATTCAAAAAAATATGAAAAATAAAATATGTTGTGTAAAACTGCAATACAAACGACTTTTGGCTGAGGGCCACCTTGAAAGTCCTTGCTAATTTCAAGATAAAAATAAATGAGAAAACATGAGTCCAAATGTACCCTTTTAAGCCCTTTAGTCACTGTTTATATTACTGTATACCCCCCACCCCCCCTGGATGACCCATCACCAAAACCGAAGTTAAGACCGGATTCGGACTGCTTAGGCCAAGTGCAGTCCTGGCCTGAAGTGTTTTTCTTCGGGGTGGGGGGTCCTTGCCTCTTTTTTGACCTGTCTGGTTTTGCCGGGCAACCCCCCGCTGCCCAACTGGCCCGAGCGTGCCTGCCTGGGCGACAGCCCAACATAGTTCAATAATTTATTAGTTTCATCTCAGAGATCCAGCATTGTTGAAGACAACGTTTTTCTTTGCATGAACATATCGTTCTCTCAGCAGAATTTCAAGCTTCAGCCGGCATTTCTAGACATCTGGTTGTGGAGAGGCCACGCCCTCGGCCGTCGAGTCGTGACTGCTGAAAGCAGATGGTTAAAACGAGAAAGTAAAGTGAAAAAAAGAGTTAAAAATAATAAAATAATAAAAATATAGATTTTTTTTTTTTGTAGGCTAATGCGAAAAAAATGCTAAGAATGAAATAATAATGACCTATTTCAACATACATGGGAAGCTGACGACACAGCTTTGCTTTGCGCCTTCCGAATCAATCTCACGGGTTGGTTTACAGATTACTGAAGGTATGGTTGGTCATAAACTTGGAGAATTTGCTTCTACACGTAAAACTTTGAAAACAAAACGAAACAAAAAGAGAAAATCTGATTTGTTTTGGGAAACATGGTTCAAGCCTGGACCTATCCTGAAATTCCCCAAGCTCTTACGAGTCTGTGCTTTGCACCTTTATTATTTAAGGTGGTTCTTCACGAACTTGACAAATTGGTCCCATACCTTACACATGAAATACGGCCACATGCGCTGTTGTACAATTGGCGACCTAACAGCTGCCCGACTGAATATCCCAATAGTTACAAAATTCATGTGAGCCCTGCTGAAGAATATGCAATGATCTTTTTCAGATCGATTGCCTTAATGGACCGAGCTGGGAGTCTGGATTTCAGAACCAGGTTACCAGCCATTGCGTGGTTGATTGTAACAACTTTTATTGGGTATGTCTTGCGATGGGGACAAACGAGTTTTATGGGAGCTGGTAACCGCAACCTGACGGTTGCGTCATGTTTTTGAATCAATTGAGCAAAAGTCCCATGTAGCCCAAACGAATTTGGCACCTTGGCCTAGATTCCATTATTCTTCTTCTTCTTCTTCTTCTTTTGTTTTCTTTTTCTCTAAGTAAGCTACACTTTTCTCTCAATTTCACCTCTCTCACCTCACACTACCTACCTAGCACTACTCTCAATTATAGGTTCTGGCTGCTACAGGGTCCCCCAGTGAATCGAAGTACCCACTGGTATTCGCGGCGGTTGCGTCACACAGAGGCCGGGAAGTGGCAACTTCTATCATGGGAGCCTCAGAGAACTGAGAATGCCTTTGGACCTCACACTGTTATGTGGTGCTTTTCATCTTCTCTTTTGCAGGCACAAACATTCTTGTGTGTTCCAGATGACAGCAGTCTAAGGAGGCAAGTTCCAAGGAAACCACCTCCGAGTTTGGCCTGTGATTTGAAAGGGCTCGAAGCGGAACAACTGCCTGACAACCTAAGTGTTAATGTCCATGTTGACAGACTCTCCTGTACTCTCTTTGATAACTTTGCAGGAACGGTAAGCTTTCAAGTTTGCTTTGCTATATGCACAGGCGCAAACAGGCATGTCTTTGATGTTTTTGAAGTTTTTGAGCTCTGACGGTTAGCTGAATGGCATTGAGTTCGTAAAAGGAATGGCAACAAGTTCCTCAAGGTCCTCGATTATCGAGCTTTCTCACATCTGCCGCGGGCAGCACCACGTCTTGTGGCTTATTGGCTAGATATCCTGCAATTTTCAATTCAAAGACGAGAATGCACCAGATTTTTCAGCATCCCTTTCTAATACCCATCGACATTGGCTCAGCACTGCTGTCCTTTTGTCGCGTGTTTTCTGGGAAACACCTCCATACCCATGCATAAAGGTTCTCAATTGCAGAACAGACAATAACACGTAAAAGAAACGTGTATCTCTTTCTTTTACTAATTCATCTTTGTTTACGGTACTCACTATTAGCGAAGTGTGCGGTGATTGCCAGCGTCCATGTGGTGTTGTGTGTTGTGTGCATTGAGTGTGGACACTACAGCCTTGCAGGGGTGGGGTGGGTATCACGGCTGGTATGGTTCCGCTTTTGTACACCGTGTCCTGGCTGTAGTGGTTACGATACTTGGCTCTTGAGGCCGAGGTCGCCGGTTCGAGTCCGTGCTGGCACGGAGGAGGGCTGAGGCCCAGTGGTACTGATCCAATGACACTCGCTATTAGTTTAATGTTTTGCTTTTATTTCATTTTGTCGCCATGAGCGGAGGTCATTTAGTACCCAATTCTTGTCAATCTTTTGTTGAAATGACTTATGAATTCCTTCGAAACTTAGTCAATGAACAAATAAGTGGTGTACCAGGACTTAAAGAACGATTTTGTCCTTCGTTTTTTTTTGTTGTTTTTTTTTGTCGCTCCGGTCTATTGGTGGGGAGCCGCACCTGCTGGAAACCGGGTCCAGATAAACATCAACATCCACTATGTAGTTGCGAGCATGATGGTCCGTTGGGTTCCCTCCAGCCTGTGCCCCACAAATGCTTAAGGCGCAGCCTCAAGTCTGTGCATGTAACTGCCACCTCCCAATTTCCCACAACTGGCCCATCTCTATCCACTATTCCTCTTATTCCCTGTTTAACCATGCCCACACTCGTATGCATTCTGCTCATTTCACCCGCCCTGACTCCCCTTTTCCGGCTCATGACTAAATGGATCCCTCTGTGTTGAAGGAGTGTCTTTGCAGACGTCCACATTCTACGGCTGTTCGTGCGGAGCACCAAATGATTTTTTGAATTTTTCCTTTATCTTTATAACTTTTACTTTTTTGTTACTCACCGCGGTTAGCATGAATGGTGTCCTCAGATGAATTGCAGTTTGCAACTACTGTAGTGTAATTGTGTTACAATATATGGTAGCACACAATTCACTATTTGATGAACTGTATCCTCACGAGAATAGCAATTTGCAGTGACAAGTAGTCGGTTTATTTTTATTTTTTTTTGATAAAAGTAAGCTATATTCTTCACTCATTTGCCTCACACTACCTATCCTGTTATGTAAGTCCAGTTTTCAAATGATTGCAGTTATGGGTTAACTCTCCCCCATGAATCCCGGCCTTCTTATTCTGCTCAACTCTGCTCAATGCGGGGAGCAGTACCCCGGCTCCTAACACCTGGCACGAGCTGGATAGCATCCACTCTGCTTCCACAACCAGTCAGGAGGCCCAAACCAATTATTATCTCCACTGGTGAACCCAAAGCGTATCACAGGGGGCTGCGGGGGATCGGATGGACGACATGCGGAATCGAACCCACAACCTCCTGAATACCACTTACGTGCTCAACCAACGAAGTAGTCGTTTGTCTAATTTCTCCGACTCTTCTCATCTGCACTTACCTGATAGGTTTTATTGGGAGCAGGATGTGTGGGATTCCTGCAGGCTGCAAGGGAGTGTGAATGCCTTTGGGTGGGATGGGCAGTGCATTGTTTGCTGTATGTTGTCGAGTTGTGAGAATTTACCGCCAGCACTTTGTGTGACGGGCGTGAGGCTGAGGGTGAGCCGAGGGAGAGGAGAGAGAGAGGGAGAGAGTGAGAGCACACACACACACTCACTCACTCGACACGACTGACKCGGACTGAGGGTCGGACGCAGACACASTGGCAAGGSACAAAGTCGAWGTCTTGGATTCCGAATGCCGAAACAGCAAGTCACACTGAGTACGAGTACAGCAGCAGAAAACTGGTACGAGACTGGTCCCCGTACCGTACGGGGAGCCGGTATAAGTACCGGTGACACTTACGGTGCCAGGGGCATTTCTGCAAAGGCCCTGAGGGCAGAACTGAAAAATGCAGTATTTGAAAGTGGCCCCCGAATTGCAGCATGGCGCCAGTTGTCCAAAATCCTACAGTACCAAAGGAGGGGTTTGGTAAAAGGGTGCCAGGCCGAAAACGGGATGCAGCCGAAACAGCAAAAAGATAGACCAGGGATCGAGCCCTGGCGAAGTCCGTAACACTTTGTGGTTTGTTCGGGCATTCTTCTTCAGCTTCCTGTGTGTTTTTCTTCCGGTTAAATGAAAGACAACCATGATGGTTATGGGAAGCAACAACTGGTTTTGCATTTCCGTGTCCTGATCTACCATCTTGACCCGAATGGAACGCCCATATAGCTGTATTTGGTGCAAATTTCAGTGTAGATACAGTGATAATGACCGGGCGTTCTATTCGGGTGAAGACGGTAGTTGTTCGCCTTAGTGCCAGACTAACTTTTTGAAATTCCTGCTTCTTTTCTTGAACCTCCAAGATGCTGCCTCTGGTTGAAGCGACAGCAGGAAATCTTTATGCTAGTTCAGTCGGCCGGATGGAGACGCCAATTGCTGTGGCTATGGTGTGGCTTAGCGCATCGACGTTCAACAACAACCTTGGGGTGTGGGAGCCATTTGTGGAGCCTTTTGAAGGCCTGCTGAAGTACGTTCACACTCAAACATGCTTTTCTGATCATTCATGCCATCCTTGTTTGAGCAATCTGTGCTTTGCCTCATGACTTTCTTCCTTGGAATTGTTGTCGTGCATCTTGGTTCATGTGTTAGGATAATTGCTCTGCAGGGGCTAGGATTGATGAGTTTGACCCATGCCTGCTGCCTGAATACACCATGTACACTGATCGTGCATGCCAGCCCTCCTTGTTCGAGTCTCGGACTCCTCGTGCTATACCTCATGCACTGGTCGTTGCTTATCTGGAGGTTCTTGACTCATTTCTAGGAATAACTTCTCTGCAGGAGGACTAGGAACTGAAGGATTCGCCTTTGGGTGTACCTCAGTTGGTAGACCCGTGAATTGTTGAAATACAGACCCAAGCTCGAATTTGATGCAAACAGAAGATAAGTCTGAATTACTTGGGGCTGGTCAGTTCAATTATGATATCTCAACACCTTCACCCTTTTTTCCCTCTTAATTTAAGGGTTTCCATTTGTTGAAGGATTCTGTCTTTTGGGACATCTGTTAAAATTGAAATGATACAGAGAAGATTAGCATTGTCCTTGTGCAAAATTCTCCAAATTATATTTTATTATATTAAATTGCTAAAAAGAAGGCAAGTGAGTGAAGGATTCCGGAACACAATATATATATACTTTGATTTTGGTTAAGGTGGATTATCACTTACAGTGTAATCAGTGAGGGGATTCTACAGACTGTTGAGGGTTCAGCCTCCTGATGAGTCGGTGAAACTCCGACGAAACAGTTTGTCACAGCCCCTTGTTTGTTGTCCTCTTCTCCCTCTCTGCCTAAGGTTTACCGGGCAGTTCTATTTGACGATATATACTACGACTTCGCTAGCTTCCTGCTACGGTTTTCTCCGGTCAGGTCGAGCGGCAGTGGTCGGGGCCGTCACTACGCGGCCATGCTGTGCCTCTAGTGCCAGCGGCGTGTCTGGAGTGTATTTTTTGGCTGTGACAGACCTTTCTTTGTTTCGTGGGTGTTTTGCTGGCTTGTGATGGGGTGTGAACCGACAGTCTGTAGAGTTTTCCATCTGGTGTGGGTGAGTGATAGTCTACTTTGATTTTGGTTAAGGTGGATTATCACTTACAGTGTAATCAGTGAGGGGATTCTACAGACTGTTGAGGGTTCAGCCTCCTGATGAGTCGGTGAAACTCCGACGAAACAGTTTGTCACAGCCCCTCGTTTGTTGTCCTCTTCTCCCTCTCTGCCTACGGTTTACTGGGCAGTTCTATTTGACGATATATAGCTGTACAGCCTATACTGAATGCATGCTCTTTTGTGGTGACCGTTCTTCTTTCATTTTGGCCTGCTATCGACATGCCATTTGTCGGGGGCGTATGGTGGGCATGCTCAATGCCACCCGTCGTGGCAATTGTTGCACTGAGAATGCTCAGCCAGGTCGTCCATGTGTTCATCCACCTCATCCTTACAATGTTTGTCCTCTCTGTCGTCAAGGACAGACTCATTCTTGAGCCTTTTCTTATCCTCTTTTGCCTTCATCTTCAGTCCACACTCCATTCTTTCCCTTACTTTCCCTTTATCGTTCTTTGTTTGTCTGCTCTCCATCTCTCCTCCCTGTGTTTATCCCCTCCCCCTTCACTCTGCCTCTTTCTCACAGCGTACAAGTGGGCTGTTATGGCACACAGGGATGGGGGCAGCTCGCGCTCAACTTCATCAACGTGGCAAGCCTTGTACGTGAGAGGCACASTGAAAGGGAAGTCAAAAGAAGAATGAGAAACATGAATGGTTTCACTGTGCCCTTCATGTTTGTCTTGTTTTTTTTTTTTTTTATGTCTGCCGTTTGTTTTGCAAAATGCGCTCTTTTAGTTCATAGTTATGTGACAATATATGCTGTGAGAATGTACCTCTTACAATCTGCATGGCAGCAGGTAAGAGTCGTGGACGTGACCTGCATCATTCCTACTGATGCGGGAACCTGAGGATCGTTACCATCAAATCTTTTTTTACAAGTGGACCCGAAAACATTTTGCGAAACACCCCAGCCATCAGTTGGACCCCACCTTTGCAATGTACCCCTATCGGACGCTGCCCAACTTTGCGAAATGCCCCGGCAGTTGGCATCTATTTGTAGGTGTACAGCTCGGCGGTCGCTGGCTAGGGCGAGCGGCCGTGCTTTTTTGTGGTTTCCTGCTGATCGAACATTGCTTATACAATTTTCACTGGTTCGGAGCAAACACTTAAAAACCAAGTACGAATAAGCGTGTAGTTGTTCCAGCAAACGGCAACTTAGAGATCACTCTCTAAGGGGGCCATCCCGACCAAAGAACCAAAACAGATGTTGAAATAAAACAGGATCTCCTCCTCCTGCAGGATATTGCAAAAGGCCAAGAGAATTTGCACACCCACCTGACAGGGGCATAACACAAACATGTCAGTCCAAAAGGCCATTCCACTGTGCCCATATCTTTTTTAGGGACATTTTGACATATATGTTATGACCCGGACCAATTGCGAAGTACAAATTCACCAATAAAGCACAATGCTGCCCAATTGCAAAAGAAATGAATGAACTTGAGAGGAT